GGGGGGGGAGCGGACAGGGACGGGACCCCCGCGACCCCCCGCACCGCCCCGACCCCCTGAACCTCAGATGCCCACGTGCACGCCCCTGCACCCCAAATAGCCGTGTGCGCCCCGCTCCACGAATGACCATGAGCACCCACGCACACCCCAAAATCCATCTGCACCCCCCTCGACTGCCCCCTGCACCCCAAATATCCACGTGCACTCCTCTACACCCCAAATATCCTGTGCATCCCCGTCAACTGCCTCCTGAGCCCCGAATATCCATGCGCACCCCACTGCACCTCTCATATCCTGTGCACCCTTCTGCACCACTCCCTGCACCCCAAATGTCCCTGTGCACGCCTATGCACCCCAAATATCCATGTGCGCCCCCACGAGCCACCCCCTGCACCCCAAAGCCTCATGCACACCCTCCTGCACCCCCGCACCCTCCCTCTGCACCCCAAATCCCCATCCTCCAGCCCTGCACCCCAAACACCCCCACAGCCCCCCTTTGCATCCCAAAACCATCCTCCACCCCTCCCACTGCCCACAACACCCCTGCCCTGGCTCCCTCTTGGCCCTACACCCCCAGTGTCCCCCCCAGTGCCTCCCAGCACCCCGAATTCTCCTGCACACCCCCAAAGTTTCAGGGTGCCCCCCCCAAATTCCAGGGATGCTCCAGGGCGTGAATCTGGGAGCATCCTCCTGCCTGGGAGCACAGGAGGGGACCCGGGGGGGCTGGTGGGGGGCAGAGTGGGGAGGGGGCAGTGCTGGGGGGCAGAGCACCCCAAAATAGCTCTGCCCTCACCCCCGCACGGGGCAGCGCGGGGGTTAAGTGGAGGAGGCTGCAGGGAAGAGGAAATCTCGGCAGGAACAAGGACAGGGGAAGGCCAAGGGCAGCGGCCGGAGGCGCAGCCGGAACGTGCCGGAAGGTGTCGGAGCCTTGGCCGTGGGATCAGGACGTGCTGGAACCCCAGGGTGGAACTGGGACGTACTGGGAGCACCGGTGTGGAACTGGGATGTGACGGAGCCCCAGGGTGGGACTGGGGCGTAGCAGGACCCTGGGCGTGGACGTGCTGAGACCCTCGGAGGGGAACTGGGACATACTGGGACCCCTGGTGTGGGACTGGGACGGACTGGGAGCACCAGCGTGGAACTGGGAAGTACTGGGAGCACCGGCAGACGCAGGGCAGGAGGTGCCCGGGATGGAGAAGGCAAGTGGGGTGTGGGGTGTGCTGGGCACTTCCCGGGGCTGATCCCACACGGTCGGGGGGCTCCTTGTGCCGCCCTTGGGTACCCCCCGGCCACAGGCCTGGTGCCGGGCTCTGGGGTGGAATTCCAGGCCCGGAGACCAATGGGCTGGTGGCCAAAACTCATCCCCATCCCAGGAAACCCCGGTGGGTGCCACCCCCTCCGGCCCCAGTGCTGGCTGGGGGACAGACACACCCCCCTGGTCCCTGCGGCCCCCACAGCTCCCACCTGGCGAGGAGGAGGAGGAAGATGAAGAAGGGGATGAGGATGATGAGGAAGAGGAGGATGAGGATGGCGATGAGGAGGACGTGGCGGGTGACGCCGAGGACATCCTGCGCTACGAGGAGCGCATCGCCGGGCTCCTGGCCACGGTGGCCCGGCTGCACCGACGGGCAGAGCGGCTCCAGCGCCGCCCCGGCAGGTACCGGCACCAGCATTGGCACCCGGGGGGCACTGAGGGCTGCCACCACACGGCCCCTCTTCATCTCTGCCCTTCATCGCCCCGCAGGGAGGGTGAGGAGGGCTGGGAGGGCACCGCCAGCCCCCCCCCTGCCAGCCCCACACCGCGGCACCTCGACGGCACCGGCGCCGGGCAGGAAGGTGAGTGCTCAGTGCCGTGTGCGCTGTGCCACCTCACCCCACGCCGTGCCACCCCTGACCCCCTCTGTGCCCCCCACCCACAGCCCACAGCCCCGACCTCTTCGCCGACCTCCAGCACGCCGTGAGCTCCCTGGAACGCGCCGTCTTCTCCCGGCACCGGCGGCCGCCGGCACAGCCCCTGCCCGGCGAGGAGTGGGCGCGAGCGGCCAAGGTGGGGCTCGCCGGCACCCACGGCCCCGATGCTGAGGGGGTGGGCACCCACTGACCTGCTCTGCACCCCCAGAGCCTGGAGGAGCTGAGCCGGGCACCGGGCTGGGCCGGGCGGGTGACGCGGCGGTGCCCGGCGGTGGCGGAGGGCGAGGAGGTGCCGGCGGAGGTGGCGGCGGCGCTGGCGAGGAACGCGGCGCTCCGGGCGGCTGTGGGGCGCCGGGACGAGGAGCTGGAACAGGCCACGGCCGCGCTGCGGGCGCTGAGGGGGGAGCGGGACCGTCTGCAGGGCAAGGTGGGTGCGGGGGGCACCGCATGGGGGGCACCGGGTGTGACCCCAGGGCTCAGCCCGGTGCCCGGCACAGGTGAAGGACCTGCAGGATGCTCTGTCCAGGCTGGAGGAGCCGGGGGGCTCTGGAAGTGACACCCCCGGGGTCAGCAGCCCCCTGAGGCTGCTCCAGGTGAGTGCAGGGGGGCTGGAACATGGTGAGTGGGGGGTTGGTGGGTGGGATCCTGCCCCAGTGCTGGGCTCTGCCTGTTCCCTCCGCAGGATCTGCCCCAGTGCAGGGACAGTGCTCAGCCCCACGGGGTGCAGCCCCAAGGGATCCAGCCCCATGGGGTGCAGCCCCTCAGGATCCAGTCCCATGGGATGCAGCCCCTCAGTATCAAGCCCCACGGGATGCAGCCCCTCAGTTCTCAGCCCCACAGCCCCCTGTCCCCCCAGCCCTCGGTGGGCGCCAGCCGGGAGCAGGACGAGCGGCCGCAGCAGCTGCAGGGGTGAGATCCCCCATCCCAGGGGCTGCCGGGCCCTTCCCGGTGGGGAAGCCAAGGTCTGGCACGGCCTGACCACCGCGCTGGCCGTGCCCAGGTGCCTGGGGCGGCTGCAGGAGGTGAACCGGGAGCTGGCGGCCGCGCTGCAGGAGTGCAAGAGCGAGGCGGAAAGGCTGAGCATGGAGCTGGGACAGCACGAGTCCCGCAGCACCGCCCTGCGCCTGGCCCTGCGCTGCAGGTGGGATGGGAGGGGAGGGGATGGGATGGGAGGGGATGGCACCAGCACGGGTGGCAGGATGGGACAGCCACACTGAGCCCCTCGTCCTGCAGCGAGCGCTGCGGGGGGGCTTATGCCGCCCTGCTGGACCTGCTGCAGGCAAAGGTGGGACGGGAGGACGGTGCCCGCGGGGGTGAGTGACAGCTCAGGGGGCTCTGGGGTGTTGGGGATGCTGGGGAGTTGTCAGGGAGGATGATGGGGGGATACTGGGTGTGCCGGGGAAGACACTGAGGGGATACTGGGAGTGCCAGAGGGGATGCTGGGAGGATGTTAAGGGGATACTGGGGAGTTATCGGGAGGGATGCTGGGAGGATGTTAAGGGGATACTGGGGAGTTATCGGGAGGGATGCTGGGAGGATACTGGTGCTGCTGAGGAGAATGATGGGGAGGTTACTGGGGAGTTGCCAGGACGATGCTGGTGGTCCTGGGGAGGATTCTGAGGGGACACTGGGGAGTGACCAGCGAGGAGGCTGAAGGGATGCACGAGGCATGTGTGGGGATTTGGGATGATGCAGGAGGGCTGAGCGGGAACACTGCTCCAAAGAGGGGCACTGGAAGGGTACGGGGAGGATGCGGGGGGGCTGCAGGGAGGCTGTTGGGGAGGGAGGATGCCCTGCAGAGGGGCACCTGCCCGCACACTGCCTGTCCCATGCCCAGGAGCCGCGGAGGAGCCGAGCCTGGGGCACACACGGGGGTCCAGCCCCTCGGCCACGGAGGGGACGCAACTCCCGGGCCCAGCGGAGCCGGACGGGCGGGAGGAGAGCGGGGCCAGCAGCTCCCCCAGGGCACAGAGGTACCTGGAGGAGGGCGGGGGGCACAGTGTTCGGCCGTCCCCGGGGTACCCCCGTGCCCACCCCAGGCACATCCGTATCCCACAGCACTCCGGTGCCCCGGGGGATGGAGGAGGGGGCCCTGCGGGAGCACATCCGCCGGCTGCGCGCGGAGCAGGCGGCCGTGGAGGGGTCCCTGCTGGACGCCCCGGCCCCCCCCCGGGGTGACCCAGCACGGCCAGGACGCCCGGGCCCGGGCGGAGAGGGCACTGCGGGACGCCAGGGCACTGCTGCCAGGCTGGAGGAGGCCCGAGAAGGCGGAGCTGCTGCAGGACCTGGCGATGCTCAAGGTGAGGGATTTGGGGTTGAGGGGCCCGACGCCCGGATCCCTCCACGTGGGAGTGGAGCCAGAGGGTGGTGACGCTGCTGCCGTGCCAGGAGGCCATGGGTGAGCTGAGGACGCGGCTGCAGCTGGCAGAGAGGGAGAAGCGAGGCCTGGAGGTGCTGCTGGCCGGGCAGGGCCCGCGGGAGGCTGCCCTGTGCCTCGTGCTCCAGCACCTGCAGTGGGAGCGGGATGGGGGCACCCGCCGCCCCCCCAGCAGCTCCAGCAGCTCCAGCAGCAGCGAGGGGGTAAGGATGGCTCCGAGCCCCCTCCCCGGGGCTGGGGGTCTCCCCAGGGATGGGACCCACACCCAACCCCTGCAGGATGCCCAGATTGGCTGGGGCGGAGCGGCGGCTCCGCGGAACCCTCCGGATCCGGAGAGGATGAGGGAAGAGCTGCTCCGTGCCTCGGCCAGGTGAGAGACCTCGAGGGTGTGAGCGGTGCCAGGATGGCCACTGTGAGGGGCTGGGCATGGGGTCGCACTGGGAATCGTGCTGGGAACTGTGCTGGGATGGGCACTGTGTGGGCACCAGGCTCGGTGCAGGACTGGCTGCCACGCGCGTGTCCCCAGGGCGGAGGAGCTGCGTGCCCGGGCACAGGAGCTGGTGCTGTCCCTGGAGCAGGGCAGTGCCACCAGCCGAGCACAGCAGGCACAGAGTGTCACCATCACCATGGATCTGTTCCAGGCACACAGGTGGGAAGGGGGCACCCACGTCTCTGCTGGGTGGGCGTGGGGTGCTGGGTGCCCTGTGTCCCTTGGGTGCCCTGGATTCCCTGAGTCCCCTTGGTCCCCTGGATCCCCTGGGTGCCCTGTGTCCCCTCAGTCCCTTGTGTCCCCTATGGCCCCTGGATCCCCTTGGTCCCCTGGGTGCCCTGTGTCCCCTGGTTCCCCTGGGTGTCCCAGATCCCCCATGTCCCTTGGGTCCCCTGAATCCCCTGGACCTTCTCAATCCCCTGGATCCCCTGTGTCCCCTGGATCCCCTGAGTGCCCTGGGTCCCCTGGTTCCCCTTGGTCCCCATGACCCCTGGTTGTCCTAAATCCCCTGGGTCCCCATATCCCCCATATCCCCCGTGCCCCCCATGTCCTTCACGTACCCGGTGTCCCCTCTGTCCCCCACATCTCCCGTACCCCCCGTGTGCCCAGTGTCCCCTCTGTCCCCCGTATCTCCTCTGCCCCCCCTGTCCCCTGTGCCCCCCGTGTGCCAGGGCGGGTGCTGAGCGTGCCCCTCAGTGCCCTGGCCCTGGCGTACCGCGGTGCCCGGCGCAAGCAGGCGGCCCAGGCGCGGCGCCTGGAGGCGCAGGCGGGAGCCCTGCGCAGGCAACATTCCCGGCGGGAGCAGGCGCTGGCCCTCAGGCTGCAATCCCTGGAGCAGGGCCCGGCCGGCAGCGAGACCTGCATCTAGAGACACACCCCCCCCCCGGAGCCCTCTCCCCGCTGTACCCCCGCCATAATAAACGGTGGATGCTCGTGGTTTGGCGTTGGGGGGGGTTTGGAGCTCGGACGGGGCTCAGCTGGGGGACCCCCGGCTCGGCTCGTCCCAGGGGGGCCGGGAACAAAGGGCGTCCCCCCCGCGCCCCCCCCCCGCTGTCTCCCGGCGCAGATGAAGCCATTTGGTTGTCCCTGGCGCGGGATCAAAGGTGACGGCAGTGGCCGTGGCGCGGGGCCCATCCATATTCAGGAGGAAGAGGAGCGCTGACCCCGCGCCGGGGGCATCCCGGCCCTGCACGGGGGGCTCCGGGAGCGGGCTGGGCCGGGGGGCTGCCGAGGGGACTGGGGGGGGCTCAGCCCACCATCCTGAGCCCCTCCATCCCCGCACGAGGGAGCACATGGATGGTGGGAGCACATGGATGGTGGGAGCAGGGCTGAGCATGGGGCTCAGGGGGGGATGAGTGGGGACAGGGCAGGGCTTGGATGCACTGAGGGGTGGAGGGAAAGTGAGGCACGGAGCTGGAGATGGGCTCCAGTGAGGCCTGGATCACTCTGGAGAGATCCTGCAGCAGAGTTCAAGGCTCTGTGGATCAACATCTGGAGCTGTGGTGATGGAGAGTGCTGGGAGAGGGACGCAGGGATTTGGGGATGCAGGGACACAGCAGTGCAATTTTGCAGGGATGCAGAGCTGTGGGGATGCAGGGATGCAGGGGATGTAGGGATTCGGGGATGCAGGGATTCAGGGTTGCAGAGCTGTGGGGATGTAGGGATTCAGGGCTGCAGGGATATGGGGATGCAGGGATGTGGGGATGCAGGGATATGGGG